CATATACACATTTGTTTTTTAAAAACACCTCCCAATAAAGCACTGTTTATGAAGAAAGTTAATTGGCTGACCTGTGTTTCTTTACAAGGTTGGAAGGAGAAGTTCTGCAGGACTCGGATGAGAGCAAGTTTCATGTTCATGAGAGCAAACCTCATGCCGATACAATTCCTGGGTCCATTCCCAAAGGGCATGTATATGTAAGGGTCAACGTTCTCCTTGTTCTTCTTACTGAATCTGGTGGGATACAGATGAAAACAAGTACAGGGAGGAATGAGAGGGGAAGGAGACAGAAAAAAATGTATGTGTTATGAATATGCACAAACTCCACATGATCAATGTAATCATTATGTGCTGCAAACATGTACTGATAAAAAATTTAAATAAGGAGCTCCCCCAGGCATCTGAGGAGTCAAGTCACTGAGGAGTCAAGCTGCATGGGCTGCCAGCACCACTGCCCTGGGCCTCTGCACCTCCCTCTGGCCAGCGGCCCACACTGGTGCAAGGGGTCATGAGGCCATTGTTCTGTGCTCCAGAAGATAGAACAGAAGTGAACAACAGAAAAAGGGCCTCTCTGAGGCTCTTTGATTATAATTGAAGCCCACTGCACTATCTTCAGGTGAAGGGGAACTAGAACTTGCAGTAGAACCTTACAGAGTTATATCCAGCAGGAGGTCAGGGAACTCAACTGTGTCCTTGAAGCCAGAATCAGCCTGAATCTCACTGGACTGCTTCTGACTTGCTGATACTATTTGACTTAGATCTGCACACTGTTGCCCACATTGTCTAATGTGACAGTAGATACATACCTGAAGGAAGCCTTTTGTTTTCATTTTATTGTTTTCAAAGTTTGATTTTTCTCTTAGTTTTAATTTTTATTTATTTCAAATTCATTTTCTCTTTTTTCTTCTCTTTCTTTCTTTACTTTCTTTCTCTCTCACTCTCTAACTCTCTTGCTCTCCCACCTCGTTCTGCATCTCTCTCCCTTTTTGTTCCTGTTTCTGTCCTAATTTGGATGTCTTTTTGTTTTCTTTTTCTTTTCCTCTCTCTTTTTCCTTCTCTCAACTGTCATTAGTTTTAGAGGAAAGCAAAAACAGTCTCTACCTTTCCTATTGCTGTTAGTTTGTTGAGATTTTGTCTTTGTTATTTCAGTTGGTCTTTTCCTCTTGTCTTCAACAGTTTCCCAATGTTTGCCTGATCTTCCTGTGTCCTCTGGCCTCACTTATAACCTTTCTCTATCCTCTTACCTATTTTTCCCTCCCTCCCCAACTCATTCTCAGTCCTCATCCTGAAAGGTAAAGTTGCTATACTGAAGATTTTATTCATTGTAAATGTATTTTGGCCTGGTCCTTGATTTTTATTTAATTCACATGGTTAAAGGTGATAGATTAATAGCTCCCACAAATTGTCATTTTCTAAGCTGTGCTTGATGCTATTGTTGCTGATTGTATCATTGGTCTAAGGTATTGTGATTATCTAATCAGTTTTCCTTCCTGGTAGACTATGAGGTAGAAAATTGATAGAAAACTTCCTGGTAGAAAACAAGATTGCCTAAGAGTTATTAGCGACTCAAAACTGAAAGACTAGCTATATCCGGAGGACACCTCTGAGAAGCAATCATACCATAAGGGTTCTAAATAGCAGCAACAAAGATACATACAATAAGCAATATTGAAGTATCAACCCAGGAATTAAACCAAAAACAGAACCAACAACAAAAATAGAAATGAGAAGAT